TTGTCCTTTAATTGGAAAAACTCCCTTGCACCCTCTCGGGTGCGGAAAAAGGAGGTGTGACACATAGTTGAACAAATAGAGATTAAACCAGGCACACTATATTAACATAACAAGAAGTTCATCATTCAATAGGTTCCATCAAAACCCTAGACTAAATATTTAGCTACTCATAATCATGTTCATAATTTCCCAAATAAATTGCATAATTAAATTACAAAGCAAATATGAAGGAATGAAGAATTTGATGCCAATCTCCTTCGGAAATTGCCCAAACGTTTTCTCCCTTTCGCAATAGCCTCTCTAAGTCTAAGATATGTCAAAAGTCTTCAAAATGTCGTTTTTACATGTATTTATACCAAGTAGGGTCGGGCCCAGACGAAAAAAAACCTTTTTTGCGCGAACTAGGACTGGCTTTGTAGAATTTACATAGCCGCGCCGCACCATGCGGCGGGGTAGTGCATTTTATATGCAGCCTCATATTTTTGATTCAAGCTCAACTTTACACTGCTGCGTCGCGCCTTGCGGCGCCCCATGCAGCGCAGTAGTGGAATTTTCTCAGAGTGAACTTTTTTCGTCCTCTTTTAACATCCAGACTTGGTACACGACCTCCAAATACAATCCCGGCTTAATGCATTGGGCTTTTACTCAGACTTCAAAGCTCCAAATCGATCAATTTAGCTCTAAATTAACTTTTGAGCTCCGGATCGCTTCCTGCAAGGCATAAAACACGTACTAGGTGTAATTCACTGTCATTTGAGCTCAAACACACATAAAAATGCAATCATTGGAATGTAATACCATGGCTAAAACACGAGTTTCTAGCCTAACATCACAAAGTATAAACTTAGACGCAAATTCCTAACATAGCCATCGGGCTCGGATTTAGCCCGGGCATAACCTCACTAGTCCGCTTAGAAAGCGGGTCAGAAGGATTTAATTGTAATTGAATCAAAATACTAAACGTTCCCGCTTTCTTCCAGGTAGACACGTCGCCTTATGGATAGTGTGGCCTAGATCGGTACATTCTCGGTAACACCATCCATCTCTCGGGCTGGGAGATGAGCATAGACTCCTGCTACTTATGCCCCATAGTAGGTGACTCCTCAATATTATACTCCAACTACCCATCCAGTTGGGGTGATTCGACCGGTTGTTGCGGCATGGGCCGATGATAGGCCCGCGTTGTCTTCTGAGGCTGTGTTGAGGTTAAATAAGTTTACCAAGTTCATTATTTCATTTTTGAAGAATTAAACCAAATAGCCGCCCACCTTAAAAATAGCCTGTGAATGTATAATATATGCATAATATATGTATTACATATGTATTCTTATGTATAATCAATATATAATTTATGTATATGGCTAGAAAAAGTAAACAATTAATGGCTATTTGGATAAAAATCCATTTTTTCTTCTAGCAGGCATACACAAATTACATAGTATGAGTGAGATGGTTAAATTGGCAACAAATGTAAACTCCACGAGCAATGGTGCCTAGGAATGGGATGAGTGATATAGTGCAATGATTGGTATCAATCGGTTTCCTCTAGTTCGTTCACATTCATTACTACCACGGGTGGCTCTATGGCAAGGCCATTAAAATTTCTGCTTTAGGCGCAGTCCCCAAGAGACAAAGACCCCCAAAATATTTTTTATTAACTATAATTATTTATATTAATAAGAGTTTTTTAAGTTAACAAAGCATTAATATTTTATTTTATTATACGACATTGGTTCTAGTTATCAAATATTTTTTTTAGTAGATATGAACATTTGAATAATTTAACTCAAAATTTTAGAATATTAGACAATGTTATAGTGTGGAACACTATAAAAAGAAAACTTAAAACCTTGAAAGAAATTTGTTAAGACCATACAATTTTTTCTTTATATCTAAATTAATCGTGTCTATTTGTCCAACCGTTGTCACATTACTAATACGATTTCCTTACACCTTCTAAAGTTTTGGTTTTAGGCCTCCAATTTCATTGAGTCGCCCGTGATTACTACAAGTATTTTTTATGGCAAAATTCAGCATATTATGCTGGAGACTGGAGTTTATACTTGTAAAAGCTTAAATTCCAGTGCACTATATTGCAGTTTCATATACAAAGAGTTTTGAACTCCAATAAACATACAAGGATTTTTGTAGAGGAATTTTTCACTCCAGTACAATCAATGTTTTAAAAGGCGGGGGCGTGAGGCGAGACGTTTTACCTCTGATGAGGCGAGGCGTAAGCCCTGAGACATGGGGCGTAAGTCCCACGGATCATTAAATTTTACTAATTTCAAGAATTTTAAGATAGTATAAAATAAAAAATAATTATAAAAATTACATTAAAATCACAAAATTATAACAAATAATCTCTTTAAAATATTTATAAATTATAATTCAACTATGAATAATACGAAAAGTATGACATATATCATAATATGCAAATTAGCTACAACGTCATTACAACTCAAACATCAAAAGTAATGTATTCGATACGAAATCTTATATGCATCTCTTAAGGAGTAATGAATCTTGAAAGAATTTCGATAATATAATTTGATATTTTTCTTAAAATACTCCTTTTATTTAATATGCTTTATATTTGAAAGAGAATTTATATAAAAACATAATTCACAATTTAATTTAAATATGATTCTCTAGCATCGTTTATTTTTAAGTTTCAACAAGTTAATAAAGTGACACATAAGTCACCATACAATACCATGATAACTAATTACTTGTAAATAGTTACTAGCTAATACTAAGCCATTAAATTAATAAGTTTTGTATCTCGTAAACGTGGAAAAACTAATATTTAGAAAAATAATTATAAAAAAATTATGGACTATTATATAGTAAAGACATAACAAAAGTTAATAAATAAATACTTTTTAAATGAAGATTTATTTAAAATTAACTATCATAGCAGTTTTAGTGGATAACGTGCAATAATTTTTATTTCAATTATGACATAAAATACTTTCAACTCAATGATATATGATTAACAAAAAAGTAATTTTGAATAGTCAACGATTTAATAAGAAAATTTGAGGATTTACAAGGTTAGTTACACACAATTGCATAAAGTTCTATTAGGCGAGCCCAGTACACTAGGCGTTGGGTGTGCCCGGGGCGTAAGTATCATAGAACTAAGCCCCACACATAAGCCCAGGGGCGTTTTACGAGCGCTCCGCCCCGGGGCGAGCCCCGGACGAGTCCCAATTCTGCCTTTTAAAACAGAGAGTACAATATGCTTGAGTTTTGCTTATAAAAGTTTTGAGCTCCAGCATCGTTTGTTCAAGTTATTTCATGTTTTAGGCGAGAGTATTTTTGTTCAAATTTTATAATAATTGTATTAAAGAATAATTACTTTACCTAATTCAATTTAAAAGTTAGCTAACCTCTAATATAATATCGAGCTAATTTGTACGGATTTACTCCATCCAGTCCAAAATAAGTGATTTTTTGGCCTTTATTTTGTGGTCCAAAATAAGTGATTTTTCCATATTTCAAGAATGAAATAATTATTTATTTTCTACACTGTCTTTGGAGTAAATAGTATTGAAGTATGTGTTAGGAATGTTTATGTGAAGAGATAGTAAATATTAATATAATTAATTTTATTACTAATTAATGTTAAAAAGTAAACTTCTTAATAGCTAAGAAATCACTTATTTGGAACAAAGGTTTATGGCAAAAGAGAAATGGAAAAAAGACAGAAAAGCAGATCCTTAATCACGAAGGTCCCGAAAAAAATCTCAAAATAGGTATGTTATTTCTTCTCCGCGTTAGTATACTAATCAAAACTTTCCAATTCAAAATAAGCAAACGTAGGGAGACTCAGTAAAACCTACTGGCTATAGCCGGTAAACCGGTCAACCACCTTTCTTTTTCATCCCCAGGTCAATCACCTTTCCACTCTCCTCCTATATTCCCTGTGATTTCCTCTCTCAAAATTTTCTTTTCGAAAAAACAAAAAAACCCACTGATTTTCTCTCTCTTTACACAAAAGCCCTTTCAATATTCCTCAATTTTCTTCTTCAGCTCAAAATTTTTAGGGTTTTATCTCCGGTGATTTCTCGGCGAGATCTCCTACCAGGTCAGCCTCCATAGATAATTCTGATTTTACATTGTCAATTTTCCTTAAAACATGAGTTTTTACGTGTTTTTATTTATTTTTTTAATTAGTGCACAGTATTTGCAATTTTTTCGAAAAATGTTATATTACTGTTAGAAAAACTTATACTTCGCACAGTTTATTTTTTGAATTTTATTGCATTTTAGTGAACGATTTAGCTATTTGTGTTCTAGTTCGTTTAGTAAACGAATTACTTCTTCCAGTTTTGGCAATGCCTAAACGTTTTTATATTTGAAAGTCTCCGGCTTTTGTTTTTCTGCTTCTGCACATTCTCTGTGACTGTAATTTTTGTTTTATCTCAATTTATTTTTGGTTACCTTTGCTAGTGTTAAATTGATGATGGAGTTTATATATTTTTTTGGGGTGTTAGATTGCTAATGGATTCATATTTGAAATTTTAGATGTTGGAGTTTTACTTAATTCCCTTTGCCTTTTGCATTCTGGATTATATGCTAGATATGCTGGAATTTCTTCTTTGTATTTTCTTCCCCGTGATTTCCACTGGTACCAATGGTCTTATTCTTGCATACCTTTGAGCTTTTGTAGGAGATGTCTCGAGTGGAAGATTTGTGGGAACGGTTGGTGCGAGCAGCACTACGTGGACATAGGGCTGCCGCTGGGAGACCGGCAGGAGGCATTTCTGCGAATGTCCCATCTTCCCTCGCTAATAACAGGGACATAGATGACATTCTAAGAGCTGCGGATGAGATTCAAGACGAGGACCCAAATGTGTCAAGAGTATGTAAGTGATCTCCTCGTGAGCCTTATTGACTTTTCATGCTTGACATACAAATTATGTAATGAGCTCATTTCTTTAGTTGCTATGTTGAAGTAAATAGAAAATATCCACAACTTGGTGATAGATGACTGGTTAATATATATCACTAAGTTTAGAGGGGAAATATGATCAAGATTCTCTCATTTGTAAAGGCATCGAATTATGACAGCTTAAACCTTCTTTCTTTTGTAGTATTTGTAATTTATATAGCTATAGTTTCGGGAGTACCTTTTAGATTGTCCCAGTTTTACTTCTATAGATACTTTCTGATTATGCGTTTTCTCGAAAAGCTATATGCAAACTCAGTCTATGTGAGCTTCGCAAAGCATAGATGGGTCCCAAGCATGGATAAAGGAGGGTTGTAGTTGGTTCGTAACCAACGTAAGAATATGACGAATTCTTTGATTATTAAATATTGAAACATGAATAGGGTGGAACGGATACAAAGGGTTAATATAGTTGGCCTCATCTAAATTTGGATTGAGATATAGTTGGTTGATTGATATAGAAAGCTGAGATGCAGTCTGCCGATGCTTGGACTAATCAACATGCCTCTTTGTTGGCAATTTGGTGAATTTTCTGCAGTATGTGAGCATGCCTATTCCTTGGCTCAAAGTTTGGATCCTAACAGTGAGGGGAGGGGTGTCTTGCAGTTCAAGACTGGTTTGATGTCTGTAATCAAGGTATGTCTGTGATTTTTTCCTTTGTGTACTCATGATATGTATCACTTTGTTAGAGGAAAAGGAAAAATGGATTTTCACAAAGTATTCAAATATTTCTTCTGTTGAATACATAAAATATTTGGTCCTTTTGAGTGCCAGTATCTTTATTTGAAGAGATTCACTGATTTGGGTTATTATCGGGTAACATTGGAGTTCTGGACAATTCTCTATTGCTTCCATTTTTTATATTGTACCATGTCTGGTGTCAGGACTTCTAATCTTAGAGATGTGCAGGAACTCCACATAACTGATGCATTATAAATTAGTTCTGACAGTTGAATTTTACATGTTTTAGGGTGTGTTTACAGTTATTTAGATATTGGTTAAGTTCTGACTTCCTTCCCATCTCCTGCCTAATCTTATAGCAAAAGCTAGCGAAGCGGGAGGGTGGCACCATTGATAGAAGCCAGGATATTACTCTCTTACAAGAATTCTACAAACGGTACAGAGAAAGGCATAATGTGGATAAGTTACGAGAGGAGGAACTGAAATTGAGGGAATCTGGTGTCTTCAGTGGTAATCTGGGAGAGTAAGTGAAGTTACTTGCAGCTTTCTCTTTAGTTGTTATCCTCTAGAAGATCTCCATGCTTGTATTTTACCCCACTTGCATAGCTGTCAGAAGTACATTTTTAACTTTATTTTTTGCTATGATATCTTTCTGCTTAGAATTGCATTTCTTCTTGCCTTGCAAATGAAATTTCTGTTTCCCATAAATACTCCTGATGCTTCTGAATTGAAAAACAATGGAACATTTTTGAGCTTGCAAGACGTGATAGGTCCCTGTACCTTCTGTAGTCTGTCCATAGTCAACGAAGAATAAAGAAGGCGTAATAAAATATCTCTTTTTTTTATATATAAAATATCTTTTTACCTATAAAATAAGAAGTACAAGGATTTCTCTTTCTCGTGTCTAGTCAAGCTGAAAGGATCCCTGTTTCTCCTTCCCCACTATGTTATAATTTACCTCTTAGGTCGCCCATCATCTAATGCTTATAATGTGCCAATTTTTGTTATGTCAGAGTGAAACTTACTTTTTCTGCTTTTTTGGGCTGAGGGTCGGTGTCTTTTGTTTACCCCTTTTCGAATGCTTTAAGTTAGTAGAACTTTTTGTTATGTCAAAGTCAGACTTTATTTGTCTAGGGTTCTGTATTTTAATCCACCATTAATGCATTTGCAAGTATGAAGTAGTGTTAACAGCATATAGCATGACCAAAATCAATTGTCGGAGCCTTTTTGTGTATATCATTATTGTGTATCTCCCACTTGGTTACTTTGTCAGTGACCTGGATTATTAAAAGATAGTACTTGATCTTTACTCCGCCACTATAAAGGGATGGGATCCTCATGCAAGTCTAGAACTACAGGAGATAGTCATAATGCATACATGCTGGAAGTATACAAGCCTGATTAGTCTAGGTACCATGCCAAAAAGCCTGAATGGTCTACTAGGTAGTATGTTTTTTGAGATACAGATTTTTCTGATCTCTGTTTCATTTCTAAGTCACAATAGGGAGCTACTTGTCTCTGTGATATTTTTGATTGCCGATCTTTTAGTTACTGTTTTTTCTGTGACTTGCTTGAAAAGTTCTCCGAGAATACGCATCATTCTTATTAGTTCTCTAATCTTAAGCTATTACTCTTCATATTCTCTGAAAAGAAATCTCATAGTGCACACATCCAATCTTTTATCATGTTCCATTTGGGAGAATACTGAGCGTGGATTGTGTTAAGAAAATAAACCATGAGTTTAACTCAATCTCAAAAGCTAGCTCATGAAGTAAGTACTGCCCAAAATCATAAAAGGAAACAACGATCCATTCCCTCAACTAATGTGAGACACTTAAAACACCCTTTCATGTCCTTGGCTAAGAATTTAGAGCGTGGATAACATAACATTCCTGACATTGGGTTAACCAAGATTATGGATGGGTTTGGCTACCATGTTAAAAAAATGGATGTTGGACCTACCTCGCCCCGATAAGTTAGCTCATCGGGTGATAATTGCTCAAGGCCATATAAGGAGATAACATTTCATTCCCTCAACCTATGTGGAACGATTAACAATTTGGGATAGCCTCCTATCCAATAGCATGTAGTTTCACGGGAGGTTAGAGTCCTTGAATGAATTTCGTCAGATAGAAATAAGAAATGGCTATTTTCATTTATTGGCTAAGCTGGGGTGGCTTGGGGGACTGGAGCCAAGAGTGCAATTTACCTGTGTTTGGACCCAGTTGATAAGTTTTCTTTAGTAGATCTTAAATATATTTTGTCCCTTTTTACTGCTGGTATAGAGGATGTTTTCCCATTATTAATAAAATTGCTTACCTTATCAAAAATATTAATTTGTCCTTTTGTTGAGATGTTATTTTAGTTGGTTGACATGTTATGTTTCTACTTCCTCTTGAAATAGATTGGAGCGTAAGACTGTCAAAAGGAAAAAGGTTTTAGCGACTCTTAAGGTTTTGGGAAATGTCCTCGAACAGTTGACTAAGGAGGTTTCACCCGAAGAAGCAGATCGCTTAATACCCAAGGAGGTTTGGTTTCTCTGTACTTGTACTTATTTAAGTGTGCACATGCTTGCCTTTGATGTTCAACTTCTTTTATATCCCTAAATAGCTGCCATGTGACCAGGAGGTCACGGGTTCGAGCCGTGGAAACAGCCTCTTGCAGAAATGTAGGGTAAGGCTGCGTACGATAGACCCTTGTGGTCTGGCCCTTCCCTGGACCCCGCGCATAGCGGGAGCTTAGTGTACCGGGCTACCCTAAATAGCTGGTCGAGTCCTCTTTGTTGGCTTATTGATTTCTCATTATGATCCTTTTCATTGAAAAAGTCTTCCAACCTTCGAGTTTTGTGTGGGGAACGTTCCTTGAAATAGACATTTTGCAGCATGCAATTGCTTAGAATCGCCTTATCAATAAAATACTCGATCGATGGAGGTATTTCTGTTATGTTACCAAGAAACATTTGGATGACGTGAAATTGCTGGTGCATCTGTAACTTATGTGTTCTGTTACAAAAGGATTAAGCACACTTGGTGATAATCCCACAATTCTCTTTGATAACTACAGTCCACCTTTCTTAATATGTTTTGGTGACAATATTACCCTAGAATTTGTGCTTAATCCTGAAAGATTAGGAATTTGTGGCCAAACTTGAAAGATAAGCTGAATCTTATTGTGAAAGATGGAAGGAAAACATTGTTTTGGGAGGACAATTGGTTGGGAATTGGAAGTCTAAAACAACTATATCCTAACATCTATACTTTGAATCAACAACATGGGGTTACTATGAAGGAACTATGGTCTACATAGGGTTGGAATATGACCTTAAGAAGATTCCTACATGATTGGGAGGTGCCTAGAATGATTGAATTTTATAGAACACTAGAACAATGTAGTGGACTACAGGAGGGTGAAGATACACTCAGATGGCAAAAACATAGTAATGGGATGTATTCAGTCAACTCAGCATACAATGATTTGAACCGGGAGGGATTTCAACTCAGTTTATGGCCTTGGAAACACATATGGAAAGTAAAAGTGCCTTATAAAGTGGCATTTTTTACCTTGTTGGTAATTAGGGAGGCTGTCCTCACTGGGAATAATCTAAGGAAGAGGGGTATGCCAATTGTTTCAAGATGTTATCTGTTTGGGAATGTGCTGAGACAATCAGCCATCCGTTTCTTCATTGTAGAGTGACCAGCCAGTTATGGGATTTGTTCATTAATCTCAGAGGTGCTAGGTGGGTAATGCCAGGGAGAACCTCTGATCTTTTATTATGCTGGAACACAGAGATAGACTTTACCACAGACAAAAACAGATGGAAAATTGTCCCAGCAACTATTTGGTGGATAATTTGGAAAGAAAGGAACCTGAGATGCTTTTAAAGATACAACCAACTCTCTACAAAAGATTAACATGAAGGACTATATTTTTGCTTTTCCATATTGTAATTGCCTATTTTGGCTTCCAGCACAAAGTTTGTGCTGATGTTTTTTTGAATATACTGGACACTTTACCTTTTTTTCTTTTAAAAAAAAAACGAACCAAGAAAGAAAAGAAAAAACAGAGGCATCTACTTTAGTATAATCCACAGTCCACACCTAAACTCAACTACTAATTGCCTCTTTTAAGTAATCAGTAGTACTCTCTCCATGCTTTGAGTGGGAAACACTTAACTTTTTTAGTGAAGATTTGGGAAACACTTAACTTTTTTAGTGAAGATTATATATGTTCTTTTGACAAGGCAAATTAATTTATAAACTTGGATTTTCTCATACCATAAGCAGGTTTTCAAGCCTTTCAGCTACTTGTATATCATCTATTTGTTCCAATGCCTATGAGCTGGATAGGTTCTGCATTCAATTTTTTCCCTTTTTTTGGATCTTTTTTTTTTGTTATTCCGCAATTTCAGTTTTTTTCTGGTTCTTGCTGCATGATAGTATTCATTTCACTCGTGCAAGGCATTTAATTTTTCTTCCCTATTCATAGTAGCAAGTTGCTAACAGTCCTCATTCTACAAGAGGGTGTAAAATAAACAATCTCGAGGCTGCTTATTTGGAATTATTGGTCAGTATTATCATTTTTTAAAAATTCCCGCCGTACATGAAAATTAATGTGGTAAAGACTAAAGAGCACATGCTCAAACTTTTTATGAAATTTCTCAGGGCCGTTTCACGAAATGTTTCTACGTGCTAGTGCAGTTCCACATGCATGTGCATATTCAAATAGTTTTCTCTTGCTCCTGATGCTTGTGTAGTCATTCATTCTTTTTATTCTTTTTGTTCCACATGCATCTGAAAGGCTCATTTTGGTGCTGTGTCTTTGTTCTTTGCAGCTTAAACGCATGATGGAAACAGATGCTGCTATGACTGAGGACATTGCTTACAATATTATTCCCCTTGACACCACTTCGACTACAAATGCTATTGTGTCTTTCCCTGAGGTTGATCATCCTTCTCCTATCACTCTTAAAAACTCTTGCATATTTGTTCTGATGGGATTCAGCAGGTACGTGCGGCAGTATCAGCTCTGAAGTACTTCAGAGGCCTACCAAAATTGCCTGGAAATTTTTCTTTACCATCAACAAGGAGCGTTGATTTGTTTGATTTTCTGCATTACACTTTTGGATTTCAGGTTGGTTTACTGACTGCTTTTTAAACTTCACTTTATTGTCTCAAAGTCTCTTTCTATATGCTCCATAATCCACACTCCTTTCTGATCAACAAGTGAAATTCATACTGCTGGCTCTGGTAATTATTATTATTATTTTTTTGTTGAGAAGGTAACATATTTGTATATTGAAAACACACTACACAAAGGGTGTGTAGTCCCCCATATTTACAAGAACCAAAACAAACTTCTAGTCCTTAGTCTTCTCATAAGGATTCTAATACATCAAAAATAGATTCAGGTTCTTCTAAGACTTCTTGTTTACACCAAAAATAGAATAGGATAAGACATTTCATTTCAATTGTTGGATGCTACTGGCGTTGTCCTCAAAACATCTTTGATTTCTTTCTTCCCAAATTGTCCACCAAATGCAAGCAGGGACATCCTCCATCTCTCCTTCTCTCCAGAAGAGATACCCTCGTTGTTCCAGCATGCTAGTACCTCAAATATTCTTCTTGGCATAGTCCATCTGATGCCCCTCCAACTAATGAATATCCTCCATAACTGAGTTGTCCAATTACAATGTAAAAATAAATGATTTATTGTCTCTGCCTCTTGTCCACATAAGTAACACTTGGAACAAAGTTGATAACCTCTCTTGATAAGGTTATCCCGAGTCAACACTGCTTCTTTTGCCAATAATCATGTAAAGCATGCAACTTTGTATGGAACCTTAACTTTTCATATCATCTTCCATGGCCAACACCCAATCTGATGTTTTGAAAAATTGAACTCCTTGTAGGCAGATTTAACTGAAAACTTTCCTTGCCTATGCCCTTGCCATATCATGCAATCTTTCCTAGTTGAGATCCCTTTAAATTGCTCCAGAGTATTATAGAACTATGTTACTCTTGCCAATCTCCCAATCATTCAGAAGTCTTCTGAAGGTTAGGTTCCAACCTTGGTTTGCCCATACCTCTCCAACCGTTGCTGCTTGCTGTTGATTTAGGGAATGAATGTCTTGAAAAAGTTGTTTCAAAGCTCCTTGTCCTAGCCAATTGTCTTCCCGGATATCTTCATTCCATCCCCAACTCTGACTCTAGACTTGATCATCATTTTAGGCCACAAATTTCTAATAGATCTCCAGAGACTGATCTCATATGGACTATTAACTGCTGTGGTTGTCCATTCTCTTTCCATCTCATATTTTTCTTTAATCACAAGTTTCCATAGTGGCTGATCTTCTGCTGCAAATCTCCAAAGCCATTTCATCATCAAGCTTTGGTTTTGGACTTTCAAATTCTTGATGCCTGTGAAGGCGAAATGCTTCAACTGGATTGCACTTCACGGAGCATGCCTAACGCAAGATAACCTATGCAGAAGGGGATTTTAGCTGGTCAATAGATGCTACCTGTGCAAGGGACACCTGGAAACAGTTAATCACCTACTTCTACACTGCCCAATAGCAACAGACCTCTGGAACATGTTCTTTTGTATTTTTGGTCTAAGCTGGGTAATGCCACAGACCCTGAGAGAGGCACATATGAGCTGGAGTCTTTGGGAGGTTGATAAGATCATTAAGAAAATTTGGCTTATGATCCCTGCAACTATTTTTTGGTGTTTATGGAACGAGAGGAATAGAAGATGCTTTGATGACACATCAACACCGAACCACTTACTCAAATCCAAATGCCTTCTCAACCTTTTTTGCTGGACAAAGTTGTTACCAATAAATAGTACAGGACAACTTTTGGATTTTGTTAGCTCACTTGTCCTAGTTTGAGACTTTGATTTGAGGCAAACAATGTTCTCCCTTAATTTTTTGTTTATGTAGCTCTTATGCTTCTTGTAACTTTGCATCTTCTTGATGCCTTCTTAATGAAACATATTACTTCATCAAAAAAAAAAAAAATTCTTGATGCCAAGCCCCCCTTCCTTTTTGCTAGCTAAAAGAGACCCATTTAACCAAATGAATTTTTCTATTTTCATTGTTACCTTGCCATAAGAAGTTTCTTCGCAATGCATCTATTCTTTTCAATACATTTGCTGGAAGGGGAAAGTAAGACATCATATAAGTAGGCATTGCATCAAGCACAGAATTAATTAGAATCAATCTACCCCCCAAGATAGCTACTGATTTTTCCAATTTGCCAGCTTCTTCTCACACTTTTCTAACACCCCATTCCATATCCCCTTTGACTTACTCTTGGCCCCTAAAGGCATCCCCAAATAAACTGTTGGCAGCTCCCCAATCCTTCCTCCAAGAATTCTAGCTAAGATATATCTTCCACCATATTAACGGAAATATAAAACTTTTGTTCCAATTAATGTGTAATCCAGATGTGGCTTCAAAGAGAATGAAGATCACCCTCAACATCAGTTGGTTCTTATCAGCTTCACAAAAGACCAGTGTATCATCCGCATATTGAAGATGAGATATCACCAAATTGCTACCGACCCTGGAACTCACTTTGAAACCCCTAATTCAGTTGTTGATTTGAGTTGTCTCTAAAATATGATTTAGACCTTCCATGGCAATGATAAAGAGGAAGGGGGACAAGGGATCCCCTTGTCTCAAACCTCTTTGAGAAGGAAAGAATCCAGCTGGAGAACCATTGACTAGTATTGAGAATTTGACCGTGCTGATACAAAATTTGACCCAATTAATCCATCTCTCTCCGAAGCCCATTTTCATGAGAGTACCTATTAGGAACTTCCAATTTAAATGATCATCTGCCTTCTCAACATCCAATTTGCATAATATCCCAGGTTCTTATATCTACACACTCATTTGCTATTAAAATAGCATCCACAATTTGCCTGCCTCTTATGAAGGCCATCTGTTGTGTATCCACCAATTTATTCACCACCCTCTTGTGTCTCTGTGTTAGCAACTTTGAGATGATTTTGTAGACGCTACCAATAAGACTGATAGGCCTGGAGTCTCTTAGCTCCTTAGCTCCAACCTTCTAAGGTATCAATGCTACGAAGGTAGCATTGAAGCTTTTTTCAAATGTTCCTTGAGCATGGAAATTTTGAACAACCGCTACTACTTCATTGTGAATCACTTCCCAGCAATGGCTAAAGAAAGCCATAGAGTAGCCATCCGGTCCAAGAGCTTTATCCCCTGCACATGACTTAACACTTTCCCATATCTCCTTTCACCAAATGGACTTTGCCGCATTTGATTCTCCTCCGAGTAATCATAGGGCAGTCCCTGAGATTACATTGTGGTCTCTACACCTCTGATTTTGTATACAACTTCTGGTAGAATGTTACTATTTCTCTTTTGATGTCTATAGCGTTATCCACAACAACTCCTTCTGCTATCAGCTGGTCAATATTATTATGTCTTCTATGAGCATTTGCTGTGAAATTTTTTTGTGTTCCTGTCTCCTTGTTTCAACCAAAGAGCTCTGGATCTTTGTCTCCAAGCCACCTCCTCTTGTTTAGCAATCTCCTCAAATTCCATTGATAAGGCAGTTTTTGTGTAGATTTCTTCTCATTCAAGTTCCTTTGATCCTGTAACTCTTCCAATTCTGCAAGTTGATTGACAATATTTGCTTGTTTTGCTCTATTCTTTAAGCTTCTCCTTCAAAGCTTTCAATTTAAAAGCTAAAATAAAATCAGGCCTCCCTTCACAGATAAAAGACTCCCACCATCCTTTAATTATATCTTTGAAACCATCAGTTTTCAGCCACCAATTTTCAAACTTGAAATAAGACCTAACAGGTTCCCAATTTCCACATTGAAGCATCAGGGGTGTATGATCAGATGTGATTCTATGAAGTGTAGTCTGTTTGATGTTTCTGAAGCCTTCATTCCAGTCCACTGAGATCAAAAACCTATCCAATCTTGCTCCTATATCATGCATATCACCTTTCCTCCATGTGTATGTCCCTCTTGCCAGTTGAAGATCCACCAATTCCATGTTCTCAATGAACTCTTAGAACTCAGTCATAGCCGTATTAATTGTGTTGTAGTTCTTCTTCTCTGATGGGAATCTAACAGTGTTAAAATCCCCACAAACAACCCAAGGCCCAGAAAAAAGACCTCTAGCACCAGCCAACTCCCACCAAACTTTTTCTCTTTCTTTTCTATCATTTGGAGCATACACACTAGATAAATGCCAAGTAAAATCTTGAGATTTACCAGAGAATTTACAAGAAATTGAATAAGCACCTAAATTACTGACCTCCCCTTCCCAAATTCTGCTATCCCAAAGTACAACAATTCCCCCTCTAGTCCCACTAGCTTCCAATTGGGCAAACTTTCCCCATCTATTTGCCCAAAGTTCTTAAATAATTTCCCTAATATCCCTTTCTACCTTGGATTCTTGGAAGCAATAAACATCTACTTTCCAGCTGTGAATCAAACTCTTGATCATCAATCTTTTCCTGTATCGATTTAGCCCCCTCACATTCCATGAGACAATATTCACCTTCATTGATCATGAATAATAATACTTCTCCCTACTTCTGGTACCATCGCTCTTGGAATATCTAGATTCTTTACTTCTTTAGAAATTTTTCTTTTTGGAGTTTCTATCATCTGCATGTTTGATTTTTTTTTGTTTGCTTGCCTCTTCTCATCAATCTTCATGAATAACTCTAAAGCTTCTTTCTCGCATCCTCGGAAATCCACTCCAAATTCTTTGCCAAGCCGGATTATATTCTGATGAACCCATAGTGATGCTTCGAATTCTGGATCCTTTTCTATCTCTGCATGTTGTAAGTTCGTTGTGCATCTTCAATTACCCGGCCCACTTCTTTGCTTCCTTCACTTGTCTGCATGTTCTCTCTTCTGGAGTTTCGAGAGAATTACCACATTCTTCAAAAACTATCATGGAATTTTCTTCATTGGACTTGATATTTTGTTCTTCTTCATCCCCTTCTTTTTCTGTAGCTTTTTTTCTTTCTTCATCGGGCGTACAATTTGGTTCTTCTTCATCCCCTTCTTTTTCTGAATCTTTTTCTCTCTCTTCATCTCTAGTATCTGTTACATTCTGTATCATTAAAGAGACTGATATTGTAGCAGCAGAATTTGCATTTAACTCTTCCATAAAGGAATCGGGCCTGGGCTCATATTGGAGGCCCTCATGTGTTAAAAAATCTGGAAAGCTTTGGGCCAATAAAATCTGGGTCCAAGGAGCTTTTTAACTGACTTAACTGAACTGGGACCAATTCTTGAGCTTTTCTCCACGTGAGAAGTCACGTGTGGATTCCAGAATTTTGATTTGTGAAACAGCCTGTATCTCTGCCACTGTAGAAGAAGCCACATGCCCTGTCACATCTTTACCTAGTGCCCCCCTTCCCTGACGCATACTCATCCTCTATAGCCTAGCAACCCGAAGCCTTCTCTCCTCCTCCTTCTCCGGCGAAAGTTCTCACTGGTGCCTCACAGCACACCTGAATCTGATAAATTAACCCTTCGAAACCCACCTTCACTGATTTCGGAACTGATTCCCCATCCCCTCTCACCTTTACCCTTGCCCATTTTAAGTGATTTCTGAGCTCTGCCTCCTCTTCTGTTTGTAACCAACCACCGCAATAATCACCCACTTCCTTGAAGACTTTATGAGACCATAACTGGATAGGCAGGCCAACGAGCCTTATTCACACATGGTTTAATTTTTCACTACTTGGAATAGAGCCCACTGTCGGTGTCCACAATTGTAGATGGACCTTGTGCATTTTCTAGAACCATTCATCTTTCAGGACGTGCTCAGCACTTATCTTCGAAGAGAATTCAAAGAGAAACCGATTCTGGCCCATCTCATAAATATTGACTCCATGTGCTTGCTTCCAAGAATTACTAGTCCAACGACGAATTTCTGAGAGAGTAGGGATATCAATAATTCCTTCAGGCTATACTCCTGCTAAGAATGAAAACAATTCATTCTGGGTGTGATTACTCTCTCCTGAAATGCATATAACTCCTCGCTTTTCCGGGACTGCAGCTGCATTATTTATTTTTCTTAAGCATATACAATAACAACAACAATAACAATGCACTTCAATCACAAATAAGTTGGGTCGGTTATATGAATCCTCACTGTTCATGTCGCTGCAATTAACCTTAGATTAGACCAATATTTTGCAAAATAGAAATAAAAAATAAAAGTTCTAGAGGTTCTATATATTTTCTATTGATATATATATCTCTGACAGGATTAGAAGTCTCCTAGAAAACATAGGAGCCAAAGCAAACATATGAACATGGCTAAAACATAACCCCAACTAATTGGTATTGCCAGCTATGAAGGCATTGCTCTAGTGGTAAGAGCATAGCTTGTGAGATGCTGGTTAGGCGCACGTTACGAGTTCAGACTCTACTTGGTATTTAAGTGTAGAAGGATAGAGAAGTAGACTCATTATCCGCCGAGTTTCGAATCATGATGGCATTTACTCCTTTTTTTGGTCATATCTTTCTTCATCCGTAAAAAGTTCTTCATAATTTGAAAAATTACTGTCGTAGAAAATGAGCAATTAGATCTGTCAATATCTAGATTGAAGTTGCTTCCATGGGGATGGGAATGGTCAAAGTCAAATTCAAAGGGTAATTCATTAATTCTAGTCTGAGATAAGAAACATATGTAGTGACAATTTTTTATTGAATAGTGATTCTTGTAACTTACAAAATTCATAGGCCTATAGGGGTAGCAATACTGTAAAATTATCCATTTCGTAGAGAGGGTTAATAAAAGATTAGCAGGATGATACAAGAGACGGTAGGATGGCAGGCAAGAGATCACAGGATGGTACAAGAGATGTTTCCCCAAAGGAGGAAGGTGTTATTAATTTAAAGGAATATATCTAGCATCTCATCATATTGAATCACCCAGTATCATAGCTTTATACAACCTTCATTTCTTAAGGAAATTTTCTTAAAACGCATTGACCCTTTTTGTACTTTTCGCTTTTGGAAACATTGGTTTTGTACAGATAGGAGCACCTATATCGCTATAGATCTTTTGGTGCTTCAGGATAGTGTTTTTACAAGATTTTCTGGATTTGTATAGGTCTTATCCACAAGAATCAAAATTTCTTCCTGTAAAAGACTAATCTGAATTTACCTTGTCAAAAAAAAAAAAAAACTAATAGTGAATCTGATCATTTATGGGATTATACTACTGAGGAATTAGATATAGGTGTACGGAGTATTTTGTTCTTGGGGGATTGTCATTTGGATTGAATGCTGAACTAACTATATCATTTTAGCGCTTTTTGAAGAAAAAAAAAGAAACTATAATTTTAGCAAGTTTTTGTCTTCTTAATCCTTGCCTCACATTTCAGTAGTGGTCTTAGTTTCTCTCCATTATTTTGTTTGAGAAGTAACCGTCATATTGGAGAAAAATACTTATTGTTTACGCAACTATAATATCTTTCAGCTCATGATATGTGTGCTTGATTTTGTGGTGCATACTTGCTTGCTTCTTATTTCTCTTTGCTTTCTTTCAATTTCACAATACAGACATGTTAATCTTTGTTTTTCTTTTGTCCCATCTTTTTATTATTTCCTGTAATTTCCTTCCGTTGCTTGTTTCATTTTTATCAGTTCTATTATGGCTTTGGTGATCACATTTCTGTTAATTTGGCAGCAAGACAATGTTTCCAATCAGCGCGAACATATTGTTCTCCTCCTTGCAAATGAGCAGACCCGGCTTAGTATTCCTGAAGAACCTGAACCAGTAGGTTTTATATCATGTTATACCTTTAATAGAAGTTATATTTGGATATGGATGCATCTCATGATTTTGCTTTCTCATGTTGTTAAACCTTATATCAGTAAGAAGTTTTATTTCCCTTTATGGCTGTATTGAAGAAAGTCATTTGTCTAAATGGAAAGATGTAATGTACTTGTAAAAATCAGAGCTGATATCATATCCTATGTTGGTTATGCTTCTTTTATCTTATTTGAGAAATCTTTGTTGTTGTAGTTGGTCACTGGGTTTTAGCTGTGAGAAATCGTAGTTTTGGTTGTAATTAAAATGGTAAATTTACATAAAGGTGCTGTGTAGGCTGTGTGATTTGGTGGTGTTTGGCTGTAGTGTAGCTCGAGAACATTTTATCGTCTACTTTCTGCAAATCATACCTTATTCTTAAAGGCAGCTTAAAAGTAACAAGGTTCTCATCTGTGTCTCTTGAAAGTTGTTCCCTTGATGATCCTGATGAGATTTGTCAATTTTGTTGGATTAGTTTGTTTTCATTCAGTTTAGGACTGCTTTTCTGCTCATGTGCTTTTATCTTATTTACAGAACTAGAACAATAGATACTGTTATACGTTGTAGTTTCATTGTCTTGGTATGGCTGCTGATAACTAAATGGTGGCACTCTAATGAACCACGATATCTGGGATAAATTTCAATATCCAAGATAATATTGGCAATTGATGATCTTATATTATCTTGAACTTTTGAATGCCATGTGTAGAACTCTTGCCAATTGTTTCTTTGTCTTTTAGCAAAGGTTGGGAAGAACTGGAGAAATAAGAATTCTTCTTCTTTATGAGATAATATTTCAGCTGTTTTATTTATTTAGACGATGTGAGAGGTGACACATTATCGATACCTTCATTAATTTATTTCTAAGTCCAGATCTGTGTATCTCTAACTTCCAGATATTGGATGAGGCTGCTGTACAGAAGGTCTTCTTGAAGTCCCTTGATAACTATATCAAGTGGTGCAACTATTTGGACATCCCACCTGTGTGGAGCAAGTAAGGTTTCATGTTCAGCGTGTTTTGAGCGTGCACTGTAAAATTATTTCGTCTTAATAGAACTGTAATTTTTCTACTTGGAAAATATTTTCATCTTAGTATAGTGAAAAACTACCATTGACACTGTAGCTGGTATTTTTATGCTCTGAGTTTCTGATACTTTGCTTTTGCTTTTGCAGTTTGGATGTAGTTAGCAAGGAGAAGAAGTTGTTATTCATTTCTTTGTATTTCTTAATCTGGGGTGAAGCTGCTAACATTCGATTCGTTCCAGAATGCTTGTGCTACATATTCCATCATGTATGTCAATTTGGTGTATCTTTTGTCTCTTGACCATTTTAGAAATCCTCTCAATTTGATGATCTCCATTCTCCTTTGTCGTCTTCTTGTGATAATTAAAGTACTCTCTGGCTGACCTGTCAGTATGTTCTAAGTTTGCTCTTTAAGTGTAATTTGCCCTTTGTCTCCAGGGTGTTCTCTTTGGTGTGAGGGTGTGGGATTGTCGGATAAGAGGGTACACTATAAATTTCTTAAAATGAAAGGGCAAAAGCCAGAAGAGAGAAGCCATAATTATGATTACTTCATCCCAAGTGTTTTGATCTTACTTTTGCTTTGCTTGGAACAATTAATTTCATGACAGATGGGAAGGGAACTGGAGGAGATACTACGACAGCAGGTTGCACAGCCTGCTAAGAGCTGCATGTCTGATAATGGCGTGTCATTTCTTGATCAAGTAATATGTCTTGTTTATGATGTCATTGCGGCGGTATGTTTTTTGTTTTTTCCCCGTTGTAGCCTACTTTCTGTTTCTAAAGATCATTTACAGAGACACTCATACATGTAACATATGACTAAATATGTATGTGCATACATACGCATACTCTTACTTGTCGAACCTGTTTTTGATTTTGATTATTATTATAGTATGTGGTGACATTATCATCAGTGTACATATAAAGGCATCACAGACTCTTTTGGACATTTATTGCTGTTGTGAAATCTCTGTTGACATGCTAATGGTTGACTTATGGTACTGTGTGTTTTGACAGATCCCACTTATCACTTTCTCCATCATCTTTTCCTGATATTCTTGACTGGCTATGCAGTTTTGTCATCCCTACTTATTTTTAACCATCTTTGTGTATCGGTTAAAACTGCCACCTCCCTTACTATAACAAGCTATGGCAGTCCTTTCCACCTCCACTGGTTTTTTTTTCTTGGAAGATGCTGTTGGAACACATCAATAAATCTTTGGATTTGATCTTTCACCAAGTTCAGCTGCTTCTTACTCTTTCCATCTGTATGTTGAAGAATCTAATCAATAAGCATCTTCCAGAAAAATAGATCTATAGTGCAGACATGTCATATTTACGAGCTTCAAAATACTGTGGAATTCTTAAGACTCTTAACAATTTCTCCCTCCTGGACATTAACAACTAGAACCAGCTAATATTAACTTTCAATAATTCACACTCTTACTCTTTCGAAATTGTGGGCATTGGAGGGTGGAGAAGGGCAGAAATAATGATTAAAACAAATTTTTCGTGTACTTTGGGATGCTTATTGATTTGTTAGCTTACAGGAGGCTGGAAACAATGAGAATGGAAGAGCACCTCATTCTGCTTGGAGAAACTATGATGATTTTAATGAGTATTTCTGGTAAGCTTTACTCCCAAGGTTGTAGGACTCCCACTTCTGCAATCTTCTCACTGACCCTTCCACTGCTCTGCAGGTCCCGTCATTGCTTTAAGCTTGGCTGGCCATGGCGGAAGAATTCTTCCTTCTTCCTGCATCCAACGCCCTCAAAGGTTTGAAAGTTTCTCTTGGTATCGTTTTGCATATTACATTGTGATATCCCATTTTATAAAATCTCGCTAGAGGTATATTTGTATCATTTTGCAGGTTATAACATGAAAATGAAGAGCTTCATGTTCACAATTTAAAAGTGTTGTATCCCTTCTGCTGCAAAGTAATATAGTTCATGTTTCTTGGAAGGAAGAAAGTGGCATTGCTCCACGCAATGCCACGCAAGAAAGTAATATAGTTAATAATAATTGTATTAAGGATGGTAGTTTCAATTGAAAGCCCTGCAATGTGGTGAATTAAATTACCCATTATCAGAGCTCATGCAACCTTCACTTAAAGAATTCTTGAAACACATTGACCCTTTTTAATAAATCAGGATATAACCCTTTTTTGAAAAGAGAAATTGCATACATTTGATTCTGTTTCGGTAGCTCTCTTGACTCTTTCTGTAAGGCAGCATTTCTGCTTTCATGTGTAGTATCTTTGACTGCAATCTTCAATTGAGTGAAAATTTGCATCATTTTTCATTATCTTTTTACAGTTACCGGTGCTCAGCATTAGTCGGTCTTAGATCTAGGTTGGATAATTTAGTATCAATCTGGTTACCATGAATTTCTTATAATACACTTACAGGCGGACATAAAGCATTTGTTACTGATTTTCATGTGTATTTCCAATCTCTAGTTTGGAACATTGTCCTCTTGTTTCTTGCTAAGTTCTGCTTTATAATTTTTTAGGTTTCAGTTTTTTTAGCTTGTAACTTCTGTTTCCTATCTGCTACAGAATATTCTTAAATCTGGAGGTGGCAAGCGCAGGGGAAAAACTTCTTTTGTTGAGCACCGGACATTTCTCCATCTTTATCACAGTTTTCATCGTCTTTGGATGTTTCTTTTCATGTTTTTCCAGGTCTGCTACTCATCACTGATAGCCATGATATTTCCTCTTTTCTTTAATCTGCTATTTCTTGTTATTTTTCAGGTTACTTTGTCTCATCCCTTTTTGAGGTTTTGTTTGAGGATTAAGAGTGCACTCTATCAACGCACTTACTCTTTTCAAAAGGAAAAAAATGCATTCTATCAATTCTTTCTTCTGTTTTTTTATATCATGTTGTGAGCAGCTAGAAGGGGAGCCTTGGCGTAACTCGTAAAGTTGCTGCCATGTGACTAGGGTGTCACGGGTTCGAGCCGTGGAAACAGCCTCTTGCAGAAATGTAGGGTAAGGCTGCGTACAATAGACTCTTATGGTCGGGCTCTTCCCCGGACCCCGCGCATAGCAGGAGCTTAGTACATCGGGCTGCCCTTTTTGTTGTGAGCAGCTATGTACTACTTTGCTGTGTCTATGGGAGCAAGGAATTGAATTTGCTGTACTTGAGCTTGGTTGCTTGATATGGAATTTTTGTTTGTTGGCATTTCTTTGCTTTCAACAAATTATCTTCAGTACCTATTTTCACCCAACTCATTTATTTGTCGCTCCTTTCCAATATCCTCAGGGAATGACTATCTTTGCCTTTAATAACGAGCGATTCAACTTTAAAACACTGAAGGAAGTTTTGAGTCTAGGACCTACGTATGTCGTGATGAAGCTTATCGAGAGTATGTTTCTCTGGCATCTCTTTTCTCCAAAAGTGGTCCATATTTACCTATATTGAACTCTAACTGTAGCTGAAGTATTTATCTATCTGCAGGTGTTTTGGATGTTATCATGATGTATGGTGCATACTCTACATCAAGACGCGTAGCTGTCAGTCGGATTTTCCTTCGTTTTATTTGGTTCAGCATAGCTTCTGTATTCATATGTTTCCTTTACGTGTATGTAGCTTATTGTTCTTTATGGCTTCACAGAGCTTCTTACTTTGATTCTTCCTTATCCTTTCTTTCTATTCTTCTTCTTGTGGCAACCCACCCGTTTTGTATTGCGCAATAACGTTTGGTCATGAATTTTATGACAGGAAAGCTCTTGAAGACAATAGCAACCAAAATTCCAACTCAACTGTCTTCAAAATTTATGTTGTTGTCCTTGCAATCTATGCTGGAGTTCAGTTTTTTGTCAGCTTTCTGCTGCGGTTTCCAGCTTGTCATCGTTTAACAAATCGATGTGATAGTTGGCCCGTGGTTCGTTTCATCAAGTGGATGCACCAGGTTTCACATTTTTATCAGATTTTTTTTGAAGGATGATCATTCCTTACTGCCCTTTGATTGAGATGTTCTAGTAATAATTTTGCTATCCTTTTTTGTCCTAAGGAACACTATTACGTTGGCCGGGGCATGTATGAGGGAACTTTCGACTTCATCAAGTAATCCATTTATCTTTACTGCCTTATGTATAACTATCTAGTGCCAAAAGTAGAGAGCGAGAGGGAGAGCTTTGCCAAATGGTGGTACAATTTTTTTTGCCGAATTTAAGTTTACCTTAATCAAGACAAACTTTATGTTTGTGAGTAGGGGTGGCCATCTGAATGGTACAAGCACTTCTGGAAGTCTACTTTCCTGTAGAGTTGTGAATTATATTATTAACTCAATGATCGCTTTTGGCTAAATTGGCCCTTGAAGTTCATGAATTTGACTATGATCCTTTGTTTCTTGGTTACATGAGCTAATTTTGTATTTATGTGACATTACCTTAGTTCTTTTTGTTCTTGTGAATTGGCATGAGAATAATGTATGACCTTCCTGTCTCTTCACTGTTCCACTCCTATCTCCTAGGAGTGAGTTTTATTTTTGTAATCGGGTTTCAAAGAAAATTTGCTCGTATAATTACATGCCTTTCCAATTTATGCTTTTGTTATGAACAGGCGGCCCTCTCTTTTATGCAGTAGACTCCTTTGTGATGTGAATCTTTTTTTTCCAACTTTTTCTTGTGAATCTTGGTTATTAGTCAGGTGTTCTGGTTTAGTAAATTACTGTGGAACTCTTTTTTCTGGGTTCTCCACATTGTTTGGTGGATGGTAGCTATTTTAGCTGATTTATCCAGTTTATCTGCCTGTGCTGAAATCTCATCTGACAAATTTCATTGAATGTAGGTATATGGTTTTTTGGCTTGTCGTCTTGGGAGGAAAATTTGCTTTTGCCTATTTTCTTCTGGTATGTGTTGGTTTTTCTTTTGATATCGATCTATAGCTTTTAGTGGTAAGGTATTGATTTTGCCTTGATATTATGTTGCAGATTAGGCCGTTGGTTGAGCCGACGAGATCTATACTGGATATGGATATTCAGCAGTACTCTTGGCATGATTTTGTTTCTAAAAGTAGGCAACCCTGTTGTTGTTACATGCCTTTATGGTTGAATTGAAATTCATTCTGGTATTCTTTGTCGTTTTCAGTATTTATATGTATACCAATAACCTCTGCAGTCTCTGTGGTATGGTCAAGGTTTAGTGAGAGTTTAATCAGGGTCTCAACTTCCATTAAGTATTACTTACTCTTTTGGCAGATAATCATAATGCACTGACGGTTGCAAGCTTATGGGCACCGGTTTTTATCGTAAGTTTTAATCTCTTCTGATGTGTAAATGCAGATCAGATATTTTCCATTGTTGGTTGATTAATTCTGATCACTGATTATTTTTCTTAAGTAGTAGATTAGGGATGTCTGCACCAAGCTGTGGAATCCTTATGATCTTAAATGCAGTTACCTTAATCACCTATGCTTTGCTTCTTTGGATATTGCTTACTGTGTTGTTTCCATTGAACTTGATTGAAAGACGTTGGCCATATGCTTGTTTATCTCAGATGATACGTTTGAGCATGTACGTTTGTAGTTGGACATGTTTTTAACTTTCAGTTAAGATGCATCTAGTATACACGTCGGCATTTGCTGGGAGCCTGATTGACTTATTTGTTCATAGGGAAGTAATATCTTCATCTTAAGAGGATGTTACTGGACAATCCTATGAGGGCCAATAGCGATGATCTGAGTTGCCTCGTACAGTACCTTAAGATTTTTAGATAATGAGATATTCCTCAAGTATGCTTTGTGTTATACTTGTCAGATGGAAAAGTAGTGCTAGTTTACACTGTAGTTTCAGCATTTATTTGGATTCCTCATTGGTAGTATCTTTATTTTGCTATGAGAACTGGTAAGCGCACTAATAATGAGAAATATTTGTCCACCTTGGTGAATGCCATGCCCTTGTTTGGGCATGAGGTGCTACTTTTTAGGCTCGAGTGTCAATCCTCAGGTGCTTTTTCACTAATGGTATGTTATAGGTACTTTTCCAATTGTGTTGTGTCTAGTGGACTTTTTGTGTGGTTAGAATTGCATCCTGCAAATGCTGGGTGAAGTTGAGTGTGGTGTTGGGCTTGAGCGCCAATTTGACACACTATACTTTCATTGGTTATTGATTAGAATTTGTTTCCTCGGATGAATTCTCTGCTTTTGGATATTTCATTCTAATGGCAGGGGTTCCTAACATCAACTTATCCATGATCCTGTGGGGTGATACTTCTAAATGCTTGTGAGCGGATGCACATGCAAGTAAATAAGTGACCTGTCCAAAATGTAATTTTCCTCCCCCAGTTGAATTATGTCAAACAAAGATGAGTGCCTGGGCTGGTGCACTCTATGTTGTACCCTTTAAGTCACTTTTCGCTTAGTAATTCATGGAGGTGTCTTGCTTTAACAATGTTTGAGCTGGATTATTGAGGCTTTGTGACATAAACAGCTTGTATGTTGGTCATATGACTTTTTTGCACTTACGCTTTGGTCACTCCTCTAATTGCGAATTAGCAATCAACCAGATAATGTATTGGTACAAAAGGTGCTTGTGAAGTGTTTTTTGTCAACATCTTATTGTTGTTATTACTAATGCAGGTTTACCTGTTCGATACTCATCTATTTTACACTGTTTTATCGGCTATATGGGGCTTTCTTCTGGGAGCACGAGATCGCCTTGGGGAGGCAAGCTGGTTTTTTATTTTACTTATATATTGTGTCTATAGTTCTCCTTGATAATGGATGCTACCATTCAAATCCTTGGTTTATTGTCTGACAATTTGTGGATGTATTCCAGATGTCAGCCCCTTTCTAACAATATTCTTAACAATGATATCAGATACAATCGTTGGATGCTATGCATAAACGTTTCGAGGAATTTCCCGAGGCTTTTATGGACAGTCTTCATGTGCCTCTTCGAAATAGGTGTCTCCATTTATTTTACCAATTAAACATTTATGAATGACAAAGTCAATTTGATTCGTATACCTTTTTCTCACTGTGTCCAAATGCCCACCTGTTTTGTAGGGTGTCGCTTCTGTCTTCTGGTCTGGTGAGTTTATTCATTTTCTGTTTCTAATTAATCTGTCTACTGATGTCTGATGTTGACACTTGGCCTAATTACTGTCTTATAAGTGAATGACAGCACGAGTGCTGCATTTGAAATAGTTGCAATTAGTATCCTGTTCACTTCGCTAACCATTTTAGTGTACTTTTACTGTATATTTTTATAAGGTATATGCCACTCAATTTCTCCAAGAGGTTTTGGTGAATCGTGAATGGTTATTGGGATGTCCATAAACTACCGATTTTCCTGCCATGTGGAGATCTCACCAAATATTGGACATTTTAATTTGATTTTTACCCCGGCTGCTGCGTCTTCTAATCAATTTCTTGCTGCAACTTAACATTTGTCTTTATATCACATTCTGAAGCTCCTTGTTTGCTTTAGGTGCATCATGTTACTTCTAAAACACAGTTTTCTGATATAATTGTTATTGTCACCAATAAGGTGTTAGCTCAAAGTACATTAAAGTAGTTTCTATTTCTGGATTCTTCTGTCTTATATTTTATGGTTTAACTAAAGATGAAGCACTGATATTATGGTTTTGCATTTTATCTCAACTTATGTGGAGCTTGCCTCCAGGGCTGTGGTTAAATGGTAAGGACGTAGCTTGTGAAGTGTGGTTAGGCATACATTACGAGTTTGAACTTTGTCACGACAAAGCTTGGTATGTAAGTGGGAGCATGGTAGAGGGGTGGCACTCTCATACTCCCCGAATTTTGAGCCTGCGAGCATAATAGGAGTTGGCCAACTAACTCATAGGGGATTTCTTGGTTATAACAGAAAATGTTTCCTGGTTTTTTGACTGTAACATATTTGTAGTGCTAATTTATTCAAAATCTTATATTTTGTTTTTTAATATTATATTGTTGTAAAAAGCAGGTTTTGGAAAGAAACAAAGCTGATGCTGCTCGATTTGCACCTTTCTGGAATGAAATCATCAAGAATCTGAGGGAAGAAGATTATATTACTAATTTGTGAGTGTTTGTTTTTCGTTATTTCACTAACCACATTTTCTATTTGCTACTAGCTAAATTGATATGCTTCGACCCCTCATATTTTTGATGGATTGATTTCAACCTACAGGGAGATGGAACTGCTTTTGATGCCTAAGAATTCTGGGAGTCTGCCCTTGGTCCAATGGCCGCTTTTCCTATTAGCTAGCAAGGTAGAGCAGTTACAGTGCTGACAGTTCTTTTTGTTTTCACTTTTTACACAAAATGTAATTTGTTCCCTCTATGTATTGTCATGTTGAAAAGCCACATCTATACATTTTTGCTGACTGTGCAGATATTTCTCGCAAAAGATATTGCTGTGGAGAGTAAAGACTCCCAAGATGAGTTATGGGATAGGATTTCAAGGGATGATTACATGCAATACGCGGTTGAAGAGTGCTATTACGCCATCAAGTTTGTTCTTACATCCATATTAGATGATGAAGGAAATGATGAAGGAAAGACATGGTAAGATGTCATAGTCTTCTGTGTCCGTCTGTTTTGAATGAACTCGCATCAAATATCTGTTATTAGAACTATGCATAGTCAGTTATGTTCTTTGCTTTCTTTCTGTACTATGTTAGGGTTGAAAGAGTATATGAGGACATTCGTGGGAGCATAGCTAAAAGGAGTATTAATGTGGATGTTGAACTGAATAAGCTGCCACTGGTGATTCAGAAAGTTACTGCACTGATGGGAATACTGGTACATATTCTTTCAGGCTTCATAATGATTATACTGAAGACACATAGGTTCTCTGCGTCCGTTCGAGCATTTCCTATTTCCTGGTGTCTTTACCATCATTAACACTGACGATAAGATAGTATTGTACTTACCCTAGGAATAAGTTTGAAAATCAGCAATTCATGTTGGTGCTACCTAAGAAGCGGCACAACTATCTTTTATTTTGTTGAGAAGGTAACATATTTGTATATTAAAAATACACTACACAAAGGGTGTGTAGTCCCCCATATTTACAAGAACCAAAACAAACTCCTAGTCCTTATTCTTCTCATAAGGATTCTAAAACATCAAAAATAGATTCAGGTTCTTCTAAGACTTCTTGTTTACACCAAAAATAGAACAGGACAAGACATTTCATTTTCAATTTTTCGATGCTACTGGCCTTGTCCTCAAAACATCTGCGATTTCTTTCTTCCCAAATTGTCCTCCAAATGCAAGCAGGGATCATCCTCCATCTCTCTTTCTCTCCAGAAGAGATACCCTCGTTGCTCCAGCATGCTAGTACCTCCGATATTCTTCTTGGCATAGTCCATCTGATGCCCCTCAAACTATCATAACCTTTCTCCACAGATTTAGCAAATCTACGAATCTTCCCTTGCACATACTCTGTGACCTTCCGAATCTCTGCTGCTCTCATCAAGTTCTACCTTTCCACACCTGACCCCCTTCCCCCACACAACGTCCTCTTTCTTTACTGTAGTAAGATAAGTTTTTTGAGTTTCACCACTCCCATTTTCACATGTTTCACAGTATGTCTTGTTATACTTGGTGTCCAGCACAGGCATGGAAACCTTTCAGATATAGGTGATGCATATTTTTTCCCCTCCAATTCCATGACGGGAAGCTGCATTGGTCAACACACATTATGTTTCCTCATTGTCTTTCTTATTTCAATTGAGATTGTTGAGAGGATTTCTCTTTCGTTGTCAGTTTTCAAATGTCTGAATGGGTATTTATCTTTTTCTGCCTTTCTGCTTATGGTCTCTTGAATACTTTCACGTAGAAAAAGGAGCATACACCGGAGCTTGAAAGTGGGGCTGTTAAAGCTATTCAAGATCTGTATGATGTTCTGCGACTTGATGTTCTTCGCTTTAATATGAGGTACTTCGGATGACTTATCATTTTTGGGATTATTATACTCTTTGAATGCGGAGTATAATTACTATCATATCGTTTTAGAGAACACATTGAGACATGGAACATTTTATCAAAGGCAAGGAATGAAGGCCGGTTGTTCTCAAAATTAAAGTGGCCGAGAGATCCTGAGTTGGTACGCTTGTATCTGGTTTCCTTTTACGTTTTGTTCTTAATTTTTTTCGGCACCTGTTTGCTCCTTGTTTTTTTGAATTTGGTACATAAAATGCATGAAATATTTGCAGAAGGAACTGATTAAAAGACTCCATTCGCTTCTAACTATTAAAGAATCTGCTGCCACCGTACCTAAGAATCTTGAGGCTAGACGCCGGTTAGAGTTTTTCACCAATTCTCTTTTCATGGATATGCCTGTAACAAAACCTGTCCGTGAGATGTTATCCTTCAGGTATGTTCTATCACATTGCTACTGTTCATTTTACCATCTTCATTGACCTATTCTGTAATAATTTTCTTCTCTTGCAGTGTGTTCACGCCATATTATTCGGAAACTGTTCTTTACAGCATGTCGGAACTCCTAAAGAAAAATGAAGATGGAATTTCTATTCTATTTTACCTTCAGAAAATATATCCAGGTAATCTTTGTTTCTTTGTGCAAAGCGGTAAATAGAAATAGCTGGTATTTTGCATCTATATTGCGCGGACTCTCCAAAATGCTGCTCAGAACAAAAAATGTACTCAGTTAAATGAACATGTGAGCTTTTAAACTGTTATTTTATCTGTCCCATTTTATGTCACACACTTTCCTTTTTAGTCTATCTAAAAAAGATGACACCTTTCTATATTTAAAAACAAATTCACTTTAACTTCTAGTTTTACCCTTAAAGACATTGTTTTATAGCTACAGAAATGTCTATGACATGTCTTAGACCGCAAGTTTCAAAAGTCTTTCTTATTCTTAAACTCTGTACCTAGATCACGTGATGGTTAGAAAACCAATGCAGAGGTCCGACACCATCATTCGGTGTCCAGTCATTGTTTTTCAAAGGTGTTAGCAGGGAACGCATACTAGGACTAGGCGGTCGAAAATTGCCTTGGGAAGTGGGCAGCGCATATTTCGTGGGGAGCGTGCTCCAACCGTTCGGGCATATGGTAAACCAGGTCAAAATTTGCAAGAAGTAGAAGAATCTGAGTACAATTAGGTTATTTCCATGCTACAACCATGCAAATACTCATACGGAGAAATAAAGCAGAAGTACATGTATTTCGATTAAAATAGAGCTTATGTTCTCATTGTCATATTTCACAAAGCAAAGAGAGCGGTAGGTAATTTGTTGATTTCATCTAGTCCAATTATAGAAAAAGAGCTTACGTTCTCATTGTCATATTTCACAAAGCAAAAAGAGCGTGTCAACATGGGAGGTAGGTAATTTGTTGATTTCATCTAGTCCAGTTATAGAAAAATTAGGGACTTCCGTAGTTGCTCTGAGTCTAGGTTTTGAACGAGTGAGTGGTAGTTTGGGAAGAAGATGAATTCTTATTGATATTGATGGGAGTGAGTGTTTGCACTTTATCTTTACTCAACATGTTACCACTCTTTTTCCTTACTTTTTTCCATTTGCACTTTTGAGGGGGTTCAGTGAAAAGGTTATGAAAGACACATCCAATATAGGCTAAAACACTAATTGGTGCTCATCGTGTATCATCATTGATTTCTGTCTCGTTCATCTTTTTGGTGCTTTCTAGTAGACTAAAGAAGGTACTGGACGATACATTATCTACTTCTAAAAGCGTGTCCTCGGGAGAAACAAATCCTAGATGCTGCTTTGGTGGCAAACGATGTGATAGATTCAATGAGGAAAAAAGGAGAGCTCGGGGTTCTTTGCAAGTGGACCTTGAAAAGTGTTATGACAATTGAATTGGGAGTTCTTGGTTTTTTAATGACAAAGATAAAGTTTCTACAATAGGTGAAGGAAGTGAGTCAATTTCTGTTATTCAAAAGCAAGATACTTGGCTCTTGTGAATGGGAGCCATATGTATTCTTTGGTAGCTCGATGAGTTTGAGGCAAGGGGACTGGTCTACTTTTGTTGGACGACATGCTTATGTCTTGTGATGTATATATTTTTTTTGATAAGGTAAATTGTATTAATCAAAAGGGAGAGAACTCCCGTATACAAGAAGTATACTAAAAAGTAGAGAATTTACATCAGAACATGATTCTCTACAAAACACACCAATCTTCTATACAAATAGGGGCTATATTAGTACACCAAAAAGCGATCAAAGATAAAAGACTATTCTTAAGATGTGAAAAATAAGACTCAATCCCCTCAAAAGCTCTCCTATTTCTCTCCCCCCAAACTATCCACATGAGAGCTAACGGGGCGAACTTCCACGCCTTTTGCTTTCTTCTTCTACGGAAACCGGCCCAACTATATAGCATTTCCTTTACAGTGCTTGGCATCACCCATTGAACACCATAAAGGTTCAGGATCGCCCTCCACAAAGCCAAGGACACAAGACAATGCAACAAAAGATGATTAATTTCTTCCCCTGAGCTTTTACACATAGCACCAACTAACAAGAGTAATTCCCTTCTTTTGCAGATTCTCAGTAGTCAAAATAACTCCCCTCGCCACTAGCCATGCAAAAAAGCACACCTTCGAGGGCGCCTTAGGAATCCAGATCGAGGAGTATGGAAAAGAGACCTCCTCTCTCACCAATATACTCTGGTAAAAGGACTTTACGGTAAACAGACCATCGCCATGCCAACCCTATCTCCAAGAATCACAAGATGGCTGAGACCTGTCTTACCCATATAGTAGTGTCAATAAATCTTGGAGCTCTGCAATCTCCCAATCTTGCATGTTCCTTCTAAATGAGAGGTCCCATACCACCCCCATACATGCTCCTTACGAATCTGTTGGACCATCAATTCCTTCTGGTTTGAAACTCTGAAGACGTGGGGAAGGAGACCCTCAGAGTATCCTCTCCACATCACCTATGATTCCAAAAACTGATTCTCCCTCCATCTCCCATCCTGTAAGAGATGTTGCCACTGAAGGATTCCCAATTCTTCATGATGCTCCTCCATATGCTACACCCGAAAGGTGTTGTGATTGCCTTAGTCCTCCACCCCCCTCCCGTGGAATTGTACTTTTCTACTATGACCTCCCTCCATAGAGCATGCTCTTCTACCCCGAATCTCCACAACCATTTCCCCAACAAAGCTCTGTTGAATACCCTAAGATCTATTACTCCAAGTCCACCCCACTTCTTTGGAGAAGTGACTGTCTCGCAATTCACTAGATGATACTTTCTAGTTCCATCCGCTGCATCCCAAAGAAAATTCCTATGAAGCCGCTCCAGTTTTTCTGTGATGCTCACAGGAGCTTGCAACAGGGACAAGTAATAGGTGGGTATACTCGATAAAGTGCTTTTAATGAGAACTTCCTTTTTCGTCTTTTGACAAGTACCGTTTCTGCCGGTCTGCTAATCTTTTTTCAACCCTTTCGATCACTGGATTCCAAACCGTAGTATCCTTATGCGAAGCGCCCATTGTGAGACCTAGGTAAGTAGTGGGAAGGGAGCCCACCTTACATCTGAGAACATAAGACAAAGCATTGATGTTAGCAACCTCACCCACCGGGAAAATCTCACATTTGCCGAGGTTGATTTTGAGACCTGATACTATCTGAAACCACTGCAGGACCTGCTTCAGGTAGGTCAACTGTTCCATATCGGCATCACAGAAAATCAAGGTGTCATCCGCAAAAAGCAAATGAGAGACTCTTTGGGCACTGAGCACCCCGATCAGAGCTGGGAATCCTCTCAAGAAGCCTCCGCCCGCCGCTCGATCCATCATTTTACTCAAAGCATCCATCACTAGAATGAATAGCATGCGGAATAGGGGGTCTCCTTGCCTGAGACCCCTGGAGCTGCTAAAGAAACCATACGGGCTACCATTAACCAGGACAGAGAATCTGACTGAGGAAATGCAAAACTTGATCCATCCCCTCCATCTTTCCCCAAACCCTATCCGCATCATAATGAAATCCAGCAACTCCCAATTGACATGGTCAAAAGCCTTCTCAAAGTCCAACTTGCATAGTAAGCCGGGATCTCTATTTTTCCTTCTGGAGTCTACAAGTTCATTTGCCACCAAAGTGACATCCAGGATTTGCCTACCTACCCCATCTTGTGATGCAGATATTTCCTAGTTAATATTCATCAGATAGATCAATGCCAGTGGATATGATGGACAGCATTGAAGCATTTTCAACTGCTTATCTCAGCCTGTCTTTAGGGTGCTTTGAATTTGGGCCAGGCTGTCTGGAACAGGTGATCGGAAGTGTTGAGAAAAACTTAGTAGGATGGCGGAAAAAGTTATTTGTCAAAAGGAGGAAAGGATATGCTTATCAAGAGCATACTATCAAGTGTCCCACATATTGCATTTTTTTGTTACATGCTTCTGGGATTTAGCTCATGGGACTATATGGAGCTTCACAGTTGGATCGTTGGAAGCCCGTGATGAGCCGAAATAAACGAGGAAGACTTGGGGTGAAAGACCTTAAGAGTGTTCACATAACCAAGGGTAATAGTTATGAAAATTTGGTACTTAGAACAGGTTTTGTGGAGTGTGATGATCACATAATATTTAGTTGCAAAAACGAGATGCACGACTAAAAATATTACTATTTTGTAAGCCTTTTACTTTTTGATATACTGCTTGTATACATGTGTTTTTCAAATAAATGAAAATATTATCCTTATGATAAAAAGATAGAAAAGAGTTTTCTTAATAACTTTGTGGACATTCAAATAAAGAGAAACATATTTCTGAGTGTGAAATATAGACACTTATGATAATTTTAGTATTAAAATTCTAAGTTTTGACATTCCAAAGAAGATTTCTTTAGACACTAGAAAGAAAAGAGAAGAAAGCTATTTTTTCTGTTGTTTTGCATAAAAAGATGAAAGTGGAAATCTGATGCCTTATTAGTGCCCAAGGTTGGTTAATGGTTATCCTGTTTTTGTTGCTTTTGTTGTTGGTGTCTTAATTAAAACTTGTTCAGCAATGTATTATCTCTATTTATTTTTTCTGTGGTTTTGTTTTCTAAATAATACTTAATCACTCTTTTGTTATTTTTAATTCTTCCATTTTTTATTTCCCAACTGTTATAGCTGGAAATCTTTGAGGTCTAAAAGTTGTAAGCAAACATCTTCAATTAATATCTACAACTCGATAACTGATTAGGATACGTGTATTCAGAATGTTGTCTTCAGAATGCATTGAAGTGTCAAAACAGAGGAACCTTATAAAAAAAGTGTCCAAAACAGAGGAAAATTTTCTTTATAGCTTGTATTTGTTTGATTAGTCATCTCATTTTCATGAGAAATTACACTTGAAGGTAAGTCTCCTCTTTGTTGTCGTTTCATTAAGAGGAAATAGAAATTATTTGATGCAGATGAATGGAAAAACTTTCTTGCTCGAATCGGCCGTGATGAGAATGCCTCAGAGACAGAACTTAATGATAACCCAAATGACATTCTTGAACTTAGGTTTTGGGCATCATACCGTGGGCAAACATTGGCCAGAACTGGTACTTCTTAATTCTCTGTTTTCTTTTGAATTTGCAGTATATGTTGTCTCCTTGGATGTTTAATGCTACACTTGGCTGCATCATGTACCTGTGAAATTATGTTTAGGGTTACTTACATTAATTGATTCTTCTCCTGTTTTAGGTTTCGAATAGATCATGTGTGTTATCTTTGTTTCTTTGGACGGAAAATATCTAGGATCATGTCTGTTATCTCCTGGAGAAAGTTGCTTACCTGCTTGTTTTTCTGATGAATTTCTTACCTTTAACACAACCCTTCTGGAGTTTTGCAGTTCGTGGAATGATGTACTACAGGAAAGCGCTAATGCTGCAATCATATTTGGAACGGATGATGACTGGAGGTTTGCTTTCTGAGAACCTAAAACAATGTATGATTTTGTTGATTTTCTCTTTCTTCACCAATTCAATCTTCTGTACGTTGTTAGATTCTGAAGCAGGAATCCCACCAAATGGAACAACGGATACTCAAGGATTTCACTTGTCTCCTGAATCAAGAGCACAGGCAGATCTGAAATTTACATATGTTGTCACATGCCAGATATATGGAAAACAGAAAGAAGAGCAAAAACCTGAGGCTGCAGATATTGCATTACTAATGCAAAGGTGAATTAATTTATTCATTTGGATTGTAATGAATGTACAGGATAGATTCTGGTCTTAGAATTGACGTCATAACCTCTCCGCTGACTTGGGTTATACTTTCATGTAGAAATGAGGCTCTCCGAGTTGCTTTCATTGATGAGGTTGAAACTCTTAAAGATGGAAAGGTGAATAAAGAATACATCTCAAAGCTTGTAAAGGCTGACATCAACGGCAAAGATAAGGTGTCATTCTTTTTCTGCTCTAAAATCTGCTTAAGGCGTCCATGTCATTTCCATTACACTTGTTCTATTTACTCTTTAATTTGAATTCGTTCTATGTGTTTTAACATTATGGGTAGAGCTTAAATGAAGAAACATGGTCAACGAGAATTCATATAGCGAACCCCCACTTGATCTTGGTGATGGTAGTAGTAGTAGTAGTTATTGTTGTTGTTGCTGTTGTTTTGTTGTTGTTGTTTGTGTTTTAGCATGTAATAGTAGTAGTAGTTTTTTTTTTTGGTTGTAGTTGTTGCTGCTGCTGTTGTTTGGTTGTTGTTGTTGTTTGTGTTTTAGCATGTAATATGCGTAATTATAGTACACACATATGCGACTTATCTGTGATTTGAATTTCAGAAAATTAATAAATGGTCACATCAGCTCTTTAGAGAGTGAAGCATTATCTGAACGAAGCTGGGTCTGCTTTTGGTGGTGTTGATTTGTGAGTTCTTTTCGTGTTCAGCTTTTGCTATGTTTGCAATTAACCTAGTTTGTGATAAGGCTGTTGAACATCAACATGGGGAAACAACGCGGATAATGGTTCTATGTTGTTGCAGCTCAAACCAAAGAATTCCCACTTCTATCGGGGAAAAAGGAAAGAAAATGGTATTGTAAGTTGGGACCTGGGGTTAATTAGTGCTAGATATCTTTTCTTATTGCAACTTGCAAGATCCTAAATGGAGTAAATCCCAGCTTGTGTCTGTCAAGCTCTTGAAGTATTGTCTTACTAATGAAAAAAAAGTTCTTTAAGTATTGCCTTATACCTTTTGGACTCAAGTTGTTCCAAATGGTGACACAAGTAGGAGCTAGTTGGAAGCAATGAGCAACTAAGTGGGAGCTAATTGGATGTTCATGCTATTAAATGGTAGTTGCCAGTAGACACCACATAAGCTTACCTCTAGAGTCTTTCATCAGCTTCTGGACCTACCACAAGGATATTGCTTCTGGACCTACCACATAAGCTTACCTCTAGAGTCTTTCATCAGCTTCTGGACCTACCACAAGGATATTGCTTCTTTACCGGTGATTTTGGACCCTAAACCAAACAAGTCCGCGTTAGTGGTAGAAGCGACGCAAAATGGATTCTTTGGCATGGTCATTGGCGCTCAAACATTAAAGTAAGTCATAATGTCATATCTTTTTGGACCAAGTGGTCTACGATGTTTAGTAAGGCAGAATACCTAAAAGCCTCTTAAACTTGGCACGTATTATTAGTTGCACAGCTAAACTATTCGTAGTCTTAGTTACCCCTTCGGTTTGGTTATTTGATTGCCTTTACCCCCTAGATGCTGGTGTGGCAAAGAGAGTGGATACACTCTTTTTTAGGCAGACGGGAGTGAAGAAAATCGAAAACTCAACTTCCTGTTGGGATACTTTCAACAGTTAATTGCCGCATAATCATATACAATGCAATTTTACCGGAATTTGCATTTTTGTAGTCTCTTCTGTAGATGCAATTGTCTATTTGTTCGAACTGTGTATTTTTTCATTTTCCAGCCAAATTTCTAGCCAAAATAATGGCGTACCAATTGTGTATATCTTTTTTCTTTAGATGCAATGACTATTTATTTCAAATGCATTTTTTGGGGCCAAATCAGTAAAAATAACTTGGCTAGAGCTCCATTTTTCTTAGCCAAATAAAAAGAGTTTTGCCAAAATAATGGAGTTCAGCCAAGCTTTCTACTAACTTGACACGGAAAAAATGATCTAATAAAATTAATGAATTTAAAAAGGTAAAAAATTATATTTTATTTAAAAAGATCCCTCGTAGACAACAAAACCCACATAGCAGGCGCATGTATGTCACTTCCTTGTGAGGAGATCATCCCGGGGGTAAGGGCTATCAAATATCCAAGGTAGCGCGGGTAATTAGGACTCCTCATAGTTTAGATGTGCAACTTACAGTTCCAAGTTTAGGGGCTAAAAGCTATCAAATATCCAAGTGCAGGGTGTAAGTAGGACTCCTCATAGTTTAGGTGTGCAACTAATAATCCTTGCCAATTTTTTTTTCTTCTTTTTTTTTTTTTGTTGAGGGGGTGGGGGATTAGGTATTCTGCCTTTAGTAAGTATTCCTTTACCGGTTAGGCCCAGGGACATTGTAAGAATTTGCTACAGCTGTTACCTGTCTTTGTTATTTCTGGTAATAACACAACAAAAGTAAGATGAGAGGTGCTATTTTCTGATTGGTGTTATCCTCTTTTTCTGCAGCAATCTTATCTAGAGTAATATAATATACTGAATTTATATTGATAAGATATCATTTTCAGTGATTTAACTTTTTGCCTTGTAGATTCAAAATAGTAATGCTTCTACATGCTTTTTTCTCTACATGATTGCAGGAAATCTACTCAATTAAACTGCCTGGAAATCCTAAACTTGGTGAAGGAAAACCGGAAAATCAAAATCATGCAATTATCTTTACACGTGGAAATGCAGTGCAAACAATTGACATGAATCAGGTAGCCAAGTATCTAATTTTTTGTTGACTGTTAGTCTGTGCTCTATTCCTTGTGTATAGAACAGCATGCGAAGTGGATTTCCCCTTTTGAGTTCCTTTAGCGTCCAATAGATAGTAGACAAAATCTGCATCAATAACTAGGTGATACTTTGGGATCAGGTTGAAGAAAAACCTACAGTAGTATGTATACTGGTGAAATAAAGTGTGAATTTTTTTTTTGTTTTTTTAATAACAACAACTATGCCTCTGTTCCAAGCAATTTGCCAACTCCAGTTTGATAAGGTAAAGTAATTTTATTGATTGTGGGAGTAAAACAGCTCAAGTATACAAGTAGTACTCCAAAAAATAGAGAATCTACACCAACACATGATTCTCCACAAAAGAACCCAATCATCTATACAAGTGGGAACCTCGTGGGTGCACCAAAAAGAAATTTAAAACACGAGGTTATCTCTCAATTGTACAATGTCATTTTCGACCCCTTCGAATGCTCCCCTATTCTTCCTTTCCAAATTACCCACATGAGGGCTAGAGGCACAACATCCCATGCCATGGAACCATCAGCAGCGTCCCAAAGGGTGTTCCTTTGAAGTCTCTCTAGTTTGTCCGGTACAATCACCGGTGCCTGCATTTAGTGACATGCAATATAAAGGAAAGCTTGAAAGTGTACTCTTGATGAGTACTTCCTTCCCCCGTATTAACAAGTACCTCTTTTGGTAACCTGCTAATCTCTTGTCAACTCTTTCAATCACCGAATTCCACATTGCAAGATCCTTGTTTGAAGCACCCGACGGCAAACCCAAGGTAAGTAGTAGGTAGAACACCTACCTTAAAGCTTAATACCTGTGGAAGGGTGTCAAAGTTATCCACCATCATACCACTTGGTATGGTCTCACCTTTCCTGAGGCTAATCTTCTAACATGATATAAATTGGAACCAATTCAGAACCTCTCTCAAGTATGTCAGCTGAGATTTGTGAGTATCATTTGGAAACAATAAATGCGTGACCTTCACATTACTCTGTTGCCCAATCAGTGCCGTGAAACCCATCAAGAAACCTCAAGTCACTGCTCTATCCGTCATTTTGCTTAGCTCTTCCATCACCAATATAAATAACATGGAGGATAATGGACCCCCTTGTCTCAATCCCCTTGGGCTACCGAGGAAACCATAAGGACTTCCATTTACCAAGATAGAGAACCTGACCGTTGTGATACAAAATCTGATCCATATCCTATGCTCCCCGCAAATCCCATCTTCATCATGATAGAATAAAAAAAAACCTCAATTCAAGTGTGAAGTTTTTCTAGTAGTTCTACAGAGAATAATCATTTTAGCAGTACTTTGAAGTAGATAGTTTGGCCCTTTGTCATCTGGGAACCATCTAATTTTCTAACTTTCTTTTTCTTTTTAATATACATAATTCTTACCCATTTTCAAAGGTAAGTAGAGGTTTAAGCGACAATGATTTCATCCTTGGCAGGATAGACATCATACATGCTGGGCAATCTCTTATGCTTTTACAGATAAATTCTAGAATTCCTGGGTGATTTTGCTACGTGATAGTCTAGGTGAAATGGAAGAATTTGCGGGGCTCCCTTTTTTTTTTTTTGAGATACCCGATGGAAGAATTAGTGAGGCTCTCTTTCTTTTGAGATGCCCAATCTTAAGTCAAATCATTGCATGGGCCTGGTGAAATGGAAGTAGATTAGGAAAGGGAAGGGCGCATTTCACGAGACTGGTGAAATTGAAGTGGATTTAGGAAGGGGAAGTGCCTGCTGTACTCGTGTATTTCTTTTTCAAAGATAATATCTTTGTCAGTTTCATTGTCATTAGGCTTTCGTTCATACCTTGCTTACCTCGACCTATCTCTATGTATTTATCAAACATAGGATAACTATTTTGAAGAGGCTCTGAAGGTGAGAAATCTTCTTGAGGAGTTCTTCCTTAATCATGGCATTCATCCCGCTACAATTCTTGGTGTTAGGGAGCATGTGTTTACTGGCAGGTGATTATGGATCTAATGATATATTATTTCTTGTCATTGTATTTCCTGTCAGTCATCTGATATGGGTTTTTGTGTTTCAGTGTTTCTTCGTTGGCATCCTTCATGTCTAACCAAGAAGCAAGCTTTGTGACTATGG